CTTCTCCTTCTTCTTCCTCTTTGTCTTCTTCTTCTTGGTCTTCTTCTTCGACTTTTTTTTTTTTTTTTTTTTTTCATCTTCGTCTTCTTCTTTCTTTACTTCTTCTTGGTCGGGAGGGATTGTTAGGCGCCATGTGCCATAGCTATCTTGAGTGATGTGAATGAGGAGGGAGAGAAACGCAACCCGCGCGGCGGTACCTCCGCCCGAAATGCAACCATAGCGATAATCACACGCGATCAATGTCGAAATGCAGACTTGATTGATTGATTGATCACTTGATTGCTTAGTTGATTGATTGATTGATTGATTGATTGATTGGTTGATTGGTTGATTGATTGATTGGTCGCCTGCCCACGCCCTCATTCTCCTTGCGCAGTGGCCACGTAGCAAACCCCCTACGGTGATCTAGACACGATCCCGACCTTGATCGCTCTCTCTTTCACGATCCCGACCTTGATCAAGTCGGGATCGCCGATTGATCCCGACCTTGATCAGTGCGATCGCGACCTTGATCACGATCCCGACCTTGATCAACGCGATCGCGACCTTGATCAGCGCGATATCGACCTTGATCCCGACCTTGATCAGCGCGACCGCGATCACGACCTTTACGATAGGATCTTGACATATCAAGATCCCGACCCTGATATTCATCCTGATCCCGATATCCCGACCCCGATATTCATCCCAATCCCCGCCCCGATATTCATCTCGATCCCGATACCGATTAAATCGATTGAACAATCAATCGGCGCAGATACACATACACACACGAAGACACACACACACACACACACGCTGCTACTGATTGATTGATTGGTTGTCGGGGGGCTCGCCTCCCGTGCGCGTGCCCCCCCCCTCCTTTACTGATTGATTGATTGATTCATTCATTCATTCATAGATTCATAGATTGAGAGAGAGAGAGAGGGAGAGAGAGGGAGAGAGAGAGAAAGATTGATTCATAGATTGATTCATAGATTGATTGATTGATTGTTTGATTGCTTGCTTGATTGATTAATTAATTGATTGATTGATTCATTGATTCATTGATTTACTGAAAGAAAGATTGATTGATTGATTGATTCATTCATTCATTCATTCATTCAGTCATTCATTCATTCATTGATTCATTGATTGAGAGAGAGAGAGAGAGAGAGGGAGAGAGAGAGAGGGAGAGAGAGAGAAAGATTGATTAATTGATTGATTGATTGTTTGATTAAATTAAAACTTATAAAAAAAAATTGTCTAAGTCGCGATTAGTCGAGATCGAGTCGGGATCGAGTCGGGACTCAATCGGGACTCGATCGATAAAAACTGTCTCAGTAGCGATTGATAAAAAAATTAACTTAAAAATTGACTAAGTCGGGATTAGTCGAGATCGACTGGGGATCGAGTCGGGACTCGATCGCGTCTTGATCGTGACTGAATCGCGACTCGATCCCGACTCGATGGCGACTCGTTCGCGACTCGATCGCGACTCGATCGCGATTCGATCGCGACTCGATCGCGACTTGATCACGACTCGATCCCGACTCGATCGCGACTCGATCCATTCTATAAACCATTCAATCAATCAATCAATCGTGAGTCGATCGCGACTCAATCGGGACTCCATCGTGACTCGATTCGTGACTCGATCGCAACTCGATTGCGACTCGATCGTGACTCGATCGCAACTCGATCGTGACTCGATCGCAACTCGATCGCAACTCAATCGTGACTCGATCATAACTCGATCATAACTCGATCAAGTCGGGACTCGA